GCCAGCCTTCAGCCAGCTCAGGGAATCCTGCCGGTTTCTGATTTTCCTGAACGCGGGCCCCTTGGACTAGCGCATACCCTGCAAGTTCCCCTGACTTGGTGGAGACCGATTTAGAGAAGGGGGAAGCATTTCATTTCCTTTTCAGATTATTTTGAAAAGGCTTGGTAATCTCAGATGCACGCCAGCATTAAAACTCAGGAACACACCAGTTAGCTCAGTATAAATAAGGTTTTTCCTGAAACCAAGCAAGCTGCAAGAGGTAATGATTTAGAGTTGGCCTCACTGTGTTCTGCTCAGTATATATCCGATACTGGGAGCCGTGGGCTGGGGACACAGGGAAAGTGTGTGGGGTCATGAGAGGTCATTATCATTTAAATCATTAGAGGTCATTATCATTTTTTAAGTTATCAAAGAAAATTCCTTCTTTCTTATTCAAAAGCAAGTATGAAATCAGTAATCCTGCTGCTTAGTGGAATTGCATTTGTTATTTTCCTGGTATTTTCTTGAGCTTTCCATGGGATTCTGTAGCGGTGCTCTCTCCTAATTCTCCTCGTCTCCCTGGACCTCCAGTGTTTAGGAAGTGCTAGCCTTGCCTGATTCTGTGCATTCTTGTTTTTTGCCCAAACCAAGATGTGTATTTTTATCGCCAATTTATTTCTCTAGCTTTCAAAACCAGAAGCACCGGTATAATCGCTTAAGATCAAAGTTTTTGTCCTGTATTCCATTCCTGCCCTGAGCTTGGAGGCATATGGTGGTGAACTAACACCTTAGGGGAAAAATAATCAATCCCACCCATACCGCTAATGTATTCATTGACTGAAGAAATAAAAGCACTGCCATACTTCTCAAAAATAAAAAAATTGAGGATTGAAGTCACAAGGAGGCCAGAGTAATGAATATGTATTTTAAACCTATGTTATTTATATAATTTATACATATATATGTATTCACTCATATCGTATAGTTACTCATACTAGAGGCCATACCCAGGAGATGATGTCTAGAAAATACAGCTCCTCTCTGGTTCTGCAAGGGTGCATGCCAGGAGGTAGACAGTTGTAAGCAGACAAGGGCAGAGTGAGGAAGATTCTCAGTTAAGTTTAAAAACCTTGAGCTGAGAAAGCCCGAAAGATGTTCAAAGCAATTGCTCCCAGTGGGAGTTTAGTTCTTGAGATGGGGGCCCGGAAGGGAGAGCAACGAGGGCTTCTGTCCACACTTGCTGGACACTGTGTTTGAACCTAGACAGCTGTTTGGACCTGGGGCAGAGCTGGACGTGAGCAGATAGAAAGGGCCTTGCTTGCTGGGTACCCACAAGCATTGGGAAGCACCCCTCTGGCCTGGCAAGATGGATTAAAATGTGTTGTAACTGACAGTATAACTCTGCAAAGCTTTATCTCTTTAAAATTATGTCAGGGCTTCCCTGGTGGCGCAGTGGTTGAGAGTCCGCCTGCCGATGCAGGGGACACGGGTTCGCGTGCCCCGGTCCGGGAAGATCCCACATGCCGCGGAGCGGCTGGGCCCGTGAGCCATGGCCGCTGAGCCTGCGTGTCCGGAGCCTGTGCTCCGCAGCGGGAGAGGCCACAGCAGTGAGAGGCCCGCGTACCCCCAAAAAATAAATAAATAAATAAATAATACAAATAAAATAAAATCATGTCTAATTAGGAATTGGTTAAGTTGAGATTCTCTGTTTACCCATCGGGGTAAATTATTTACAGGTTCTAGAAAATTCCCTGGCTCCATAATCAACTTAAAACGAAAAAAAAGTTTAAAAATTAAAATAGAGTTATAAAGTGCTCTGTGTTGTGCTAGAGAGAATGGAGAGGTTTTAGGGTGAAAAGCGGACAAATGTTGAACTAGGAGCTGTAGTCTTTGGATCTTGGTATGTTATTTAGGGAGAGCAAAGAGGTGTCCTCTTGTTTGCAAATGCATTGATGACTGCCTAGTGGCTGCCCAAAACCCAGTGGAAAGGTGTTTAGGGAACTGCTGACACAGTTAGAGAAAGGATCTGATTGATTAGTGATGTTTTTCACCGTCATGGGTTCATGGTGAAAGGTTTTGTCATCCCTGCCTTACGGGGTTTCCTGAGTTCCCCGGGAATATTCCTTGAGCGGATGTCAGGTGGCACCTATGATACTTGTACACAAACCGACACTTCGTTATTGTTGGGTGAAGACCAGGCTCCTCCTGGGATGATTATGTGATGCCTCACAGGATAAGTGACTGGGGAAGGAGGGACAACAGCCGCCCCTCTGCCCTTTCACTTCTTAGAAGCTTCTGGTGCTCAGGAATCCCCTGCCGTTGGGTTCAGCCTGTTTTTTGTGCTACAGCCCAGGCGTGGACTGACATTTGCTGAGGCTCCCTGTCTGACCACAGAGCAGCTGGTCTTCTGACCCCTGTGGGAGACCACAGACCCAATAAGGGAACCAGTAAAAGTTGCATGTTCTCACCTCAGAAAAATATTTGTATACCAATGCACATGTGATTTTGCTTAAAATTTCAGAAGCTCCACCTTAAAAATTCTTGCCTCGATGATTACATGCTCTGTTTTTAAACAATAAAATTATGTGTACTTTGAGGCATGTTTGTTTACGTATAAATAGAAGGTCATTTTACAATGAATGATCCTAATGAATGAACCACAGATGTTTGCTGTAAACAGCCTCTGAAGATCTGGATTATTTCCTCCCAATAAACTTTATCCAGAATGCTTTAAATTGCAATTTCTATCTAACAGAAACATTAAGAGGTGAAATTGATGTAAGACATTGTGGTTCGGGCGGCAATTTCTAATGGCTCTAGCTTCATGCCTACACTGCCAAAATGAAAATATACCAGAAACTTGAAATCTTGGGTCAGAATTGGTTCAGTCATTCGTTCATCTGTCCATCCGTTTATCCAGTACTTTAACATCTGCCATGTATAACAAGATAGTCTAGGTTTTCTGACTAATTCAGCAGGGAATAAGACACAAATGGATTCTGTTCGAAGTTGGCCTCTGATTGAAATAGGCACTTCATAGATTCTTTCCATCAGGTTGATGAAGTTTCTTTTCATTCACTGCTGAGAGTTTCTATCATGAAAGGATTATGAACTGTTAAGTGCTTTTTCTGCGTCTATTGAAAATACCATATAGTTTTCCTTCCTCTTTCATTCCACTAATATGGTGTATTATGTTCATTGATTTTCAGATGTTAAACCAACGTAGTCTTTTTAAATGGCCCTCACTTGGTCACGATGTATTGTCTTTCTTATAAATTGTTGAATTTGATTTGCTAATATTTTCTTAGGGATTTTACATCTATAGTCATATAGTCATGAGGGCTATTGGTGTGTATTTCTCTTTCTTTGAGATGTTTTTGTCTGGTTTTGGGATCAAGGTTATACTGGCCTTATAAAATTAGTTGCAAAGAGTTCCCTTCGCCTTTGTTTTCTCAAAGAATGTGCGTACAATTGGTATTGGTGTTGGTATTTCATTTTTAATTGTATAGAATTCACCAATGAAGCCATCTCGGCCTGGAGTTTTCTTTGTGGAGTAATTTTCAGTTAGGAATTTAATGCCTTTCCTTGATAAAAAGCTGCTCAAGTGTTCTGTTTCTCTTGTATCCAGATTTGGTAATGTGTGTCTTCCAAAGAGTTTGTCCGTTTCACATAGGTTGTCAAACTTATTGGCCTCAAGTGGTCAGAATGTGATTCTTCTAGTGCCTGACATGTCTGTAGTGGCCCTTGTTTCATTTCTGATATTGGTGATTTGTGTGTCTTCTCTTTCTTCCTTTGCTCTATCCCAGGAGTCAGGACTGAGAGAGGAAGTCGGGGAGGGTCAGGGAGTGTGTCTGCAGCATCTCTGAGCTGAGAGAAGGGGAGAGGGCAGGGTACCCTAGACACCCCGCAGGCCAGGGGAGGGTAGGAGGCCATGGGGACACACAAATCCCAAACCAGTCTTCAGTGGAGGCCCTTCCCCAGTAGGCCGGCCGAGTGCTTAGTCATGGCCTGGGTGCAGCCTGTGAGCACCAGGGCCTCCCTCCCTGCAGTCCTGGCAATTCAGATTCAGGGGGTAAGCCCCCTGTGGATGGTCTGTGAGGCCCATCCTCTTGGCTGCAGCGGGCTTTCCTGTACATCCATAAAGGTCCTACCTTCTCAGGCCTTCCCTCATCCCTCCAGCTCGCAACAGTGGCCAGTAGATGCTTATAGGATGAAGGAAGCCGCTGAACTCCTCAGCAGTTTGCAGTCGCTGGCTTAGATTTGTCACACGGCCTCTACTCACACTTGCTTTGCATTTCAGTTCTGTTAATAGATTTTTACATCTCCTTTCCAAATTATATTCAAAGGCTTGCTTCATCAAGATTATCTTTAAATGTCTACAACTCAATAACTGTTGATCATTTCATTGATTAAAAATCGTTCCAGGCATGCTCAATAAGGAAAAAATAAGATTATGATAAGTCCCAGGAATAATTTCCTTGAAAACAAACAGCTTATGCCATTTGCAGCAACATGGATGGGCCTAGAGATTATCATACTAGGTGAAATAAGTCAGAGAGAGAAAGACAAATACTGTGTGATATCGCTTGTATGTGGAATCTAAAAAAATGATGCAAATGAACTTACTTACAAAACAGAAATAGACCCACAGACATAGAAAACAAACTATGGTTACCAAAGAGGAAAGGGGCGCAAGGGATAAATTAGGAGTTTGGGATAAACATATACACACTACTGTGTATAAAATAGATAACCAACAAGGACCTACTGTATAGCACAGAGAACTATACTCAATATCTGTTAATAACCTATAATGGGAAAGAATCTGAAAAAGAATAGATATGTAAAAAAAAAAAAAGCTTAGCACTATCAAGGGCATGACGTATATAAAATGTAATTATGCATATATTCAACAACAAATATTAATTAAGCATCTGTTGTGTGCCAGGTGTGTGCTCAGTGAGGGGAACACAGTAGCGAATAAGACAGACCAGCCTGGCCCTCATTTTGCTTATATGTTTATGGGACAGACACGCAATAAACACGTAAGTGCACAAGCAAGTACAGAATAGCTAGAGCTGGAAACTTACCAAATGGTGGTCTCCTGAAGTTTTATTTATCGCACACAGCTGGTTAGAAGTAGGAAATTGAGGCATGTTCATATAAAAGACAAGCCTAAGATTATTATCACAGATCTCAAAGCTGAGGAATCTGTCAACAATGGTCCGATTTTCCCTTTGGAAAGACAAGCCAGGCGATCTTCCTGGGACATTTCCAGGATTGCATCTCTTTCCCAAAGGCTTTTTACCCAAAATGAAACAGAGACCTCTATAAAGCTCAAGAAGAATCAGATTTATTGATTCATTAGTTACTTACTCCTTTTTTTGTGCTTTATTAGTTGTGCTGGGAAATACGGAGATAAAGAAGACAGTCTTCCCAGATTCATAGTTGTTGGATCACATGCATACTCTTTGGCGACAATTCCCACTAGTGTCTAGTGTTTATTTGCAATTTATTTTATTTTTTCCACTATGTTAAATAACCATATATTTAGTGCTTTCAACATGCTTAGTAAAGAGGAATTATAAATGGTTATCCATTTATAATTCCTGGGACATTATTTTCCCAGCTTCAAAAATTACTCCTGAAGTCAGATAATATTTTTAATACAAAACATTTATAAAACTAATCTGATTATCTTAGGTGACCTTCCATCATGATCTGCAGGAAATAAATCAAGCTTTAACTTTTGCATCTGAAAGCTATCTCCAAGTAAGTTATATGCAGATTGCTCTGGAAAGTTAACATGGGTGATGTAAATGAGTGTGCTTTTTTTCCTTTTAGGAAAGTCTTAATAGACATCGATACTTGAATTCTTTATTTCCTGGTGAAAACTCCACTGCCGTCTATGGAATAAATCAGTTTTCTTATTTGTTCCCTGAAGAGTTTAAAGGTATGGTGCGATGGGGCTATTAGTTAATTAGTTTCCTGACTTTAATTTGTTTCCTTAACTTTTGAGAATTGTTCAATTGTGAAGCTAGTGAATTGAGTAATACTTAATATTTATTAAATGCTTAATAAGTGTCAAGCATGTACCTGGTGCTGACAGTTAGAAAAATAAATCCATGGTCACTCTCTTCTAATTATTGCTTAAGAACTAAATACCGTAAATATAGACATTTCCACGTGGCTCTGAGGGCTGATACCTCATCTCTCCTCCAGTTTTCTGTGCTGTTTCTATTCAAGACACCCATGGTTCCATGGGTTGTGATAAAACAAATGATGTCAGTTACACTCATCTTTTTTTGACCTGCTTCAATCAAACACGTCATTTTATGTGACAGCCCCGGCCCTATTGGAGGGATTCTCATCTTTGTAGCTTTCGGCTAATCCATTTCATGTATGGAAAAGCACAAAAGGCAGACTTTATCAGAAACTCCACTGTTTCTGTTGAAACGTCCCTCCAAAAGGAATCCCTGTAATATAACGTTGGTTGCCTTTTCTTTTCATGTGTATCCTCAGCTATTTATTTACGAAGCAGACCTTCCAGTTTTCCCCGGTTTCTGGCGGACGTGCACACATCCATCTCCAACCTGTCTTTGCCGTTAAGATTTGACTGGAGGGACAAGCACGCCGTCACCCCAGTGAGGAACCAGCAGACAGTACGTTTGTTTTCTTTTCCTTTTTGGTCAGTGTCTTAGTCACTCTTGAGGTCAAGTTCGATCAAACTTGTAAAGGAGCCATCACTGCTCTAGGTGGAAGGACACCCCAATCATCAAAAAATGGCAAAGGCCAGGAGAACCCCTGGTGGGGGAGACGGATGTCAGGCCGGGCTCTCACTCTGGAGGTGAGCTCTGTGGGCGCCCCTCCCTGGCTGCCTAGCCCCCTTATCACGGTCCCCAAGCCTCTGCAGAACAGCCGGGGGAAGGCTGGAGGAGGTGAACTTGACCACTGACGCTTGAGCCGTTCACCCCCCCCCCGTGCTTCCCGGCCTCTTGGGTTCATCCCCTGAACTCCCTCAGAAACCCTACCTCCATCCCCACCCCTACAGGATCGCACACTTTGTACCTGTGATCCTTGAAAGTGCAGTCAGTTCTGCTGGAATGTGACATAGACGTTCCTAGAAATCACCAACTCTGCAAAATCAGGCAGTGAAAATGAGAGGGAGTATAGAAGAAATGAGGTTAGACTCAGCGCTGAAAACTTCGTGACACTAGAAAAGGACAGGGAACTAGTAAAGGTGGCAGTGCGGTTTTACATGCGTCAAATAATAACGGAGTGCATAAGTCCTGCAGCAAATGCAGCCGTTTACCACCCTGCGATATCACTTATATGTGGGATCCAAAATATGGCACAAATGAGCTTATCCATGAAACAGAAACAGACTCACAGACATAGAGAACAGACTCGTGGTTGCCAAGGGGGAGGGGGTGGGGGAGGGATGGAGTGGGAGTTTGGGGTCAGCAGATGCAGACTAGTCCATATATAGAATGGATAAACAACGAGGTCCTACTGTACAGCACAGGGAACTACATTCAATGTCCTGTGATAAACCATCACGGAAAAGAAGATGAAAAAGTATACATATGTATAACTGAGTCATTTGCTGCACAGCAGAAATTAACACATCATTGTAAATCAACTGTACTCAATAAAAACAAATTTTAAAAATGCAGCCATTTACCTTGCAGAAGTCCTGAGTGTGCCTGTGAAGATCACCTGAAATCAGAGGGAAAGCGGGACCCCAGATGTGGGTAGGCATGCTCATTCACGAGGCGAGCCATCTCTCCGGCAGACGTTGGAGGGCAGATGCGCTTGCCCCGCACCCCCGCTGGGCACGGGGATGTCCACTGACCTGGGAAAGTTGGTGCCTAACCCCAGGGATGCTGTACAGTGAAAATGAGAGGGAGTATAGAAGAAATGAGGTTAGACTCAGCGCTGCACGTTGGTACACACCTTAGAGGCAAGCCACCTGTACAGTGAACTGGCTCGTTTTTTTTTTTTTTAATGTATGTTACTGAGGTATAGTTCATTTACAATGTTGTGTTAATTTCTGCTGTACAGCAAAGTAACTCTCATATATATATATATATATATATATATATATATATATATATTCTTTTTCATATGCTTTTCCATGATGGTTTATCACAGGATGCTGAATATAGTTCCCTGTGCTGTACAGGAGGACCTTGTTGTTTATCCATCCTATACATACTAGTTTGCATCTGCTAATCCCCAACTCCCAATTCTTCCCTCCCCCATCCCCTCCCCCTTGGCAACCACAAGTCTGCTCTCTCTGTCTGTGCAGACTCGTTTTTTAAAAAGACCATCAGTTCAAGTGTTTTCCCAGTCTCTAAAATTCACTTTTATTTTGCATCGTCTAACCTGCAGTACTGATACTACCAATTTACCTTTAATGAATAACTAGATTTCGATGCTTACAAGAGAATTTTGGGTTTCGTTTCCTTTTTTCAACTAGAAAGTCGACGGGATCAGCGTTTATATTCTGTGGGCCTCCAGACTGTGCTCACTTGATTTGATCATCTGAGATATTAGAGATGTTGGCAGACTTGACTTGCACGTTATTTGATAGTAAGTACTGTCCTGTTTCTGTCCCTGGCAGTGCGGCGGATGCTGGGCCTTCACCGTGGTAGGAGCAGTGGAGTCCGCGTGCGCCATAAAAGGGCAGCCTTTGGAGGCACTGAGTGTCCAGCAGGTCATAGACTGTTCATACAACAACTACGGCTGCAACGGAGGGTCCCCGCTCAACGCTTTGAACTGGCTCAATAAGGTGACTAGGTCCACAGCCTTTTAAGCTGCTAGTTTAATGTGCGTTCAGAATTCACAGACCATCTACTCTCATTTACTAAATAATGTTTTCAGGGTCGGAAATGTAGCTAACCAGAGCTTGAGTTAATCAGAAGACTTCCCAGTGTGACCATATCCGGAAATAGAGTCTTTAGGAGGCTCTGGAGGTTAAATGAGGTCATAAGGTTGGACCCTGACCCGATCGGACTGTGACCTTATCGGAAGACGAGGAAGAGGACAGGAGCTCTGTCTGCCCTGTGAGGACACGGTGAGAAGGCGGCCGTCTGCAGAGCAAGGAGAGAGCTCTCCCCAGACGCTAACCCCACCAGCACCTTGACCTTAGACTTCCAGTGTCCAGAACGTGTGAAAATCAATTTCAGTGTTTTAAGCCAAAAAAAAAAAAAAGAGAGAGAGAATTGCTTCTGGGCAGGTCAGCCATCAATAGAGAAACCAAAGTGTGAAAAATCTTACCTGCAATCGGTGTTCAGAAAAATATTTATGTTTATTTCCTCACATTACTTAACAGATGCTTCTTTTTTTGCAGATGTGTGTCACGTGACTCACAAAGCTGAGAGCGTGTTCATTTCCGTAGAATTTCTGGGTGTTCAGGTTTACAGGGGATTAGCGGTCAGCTGATTGGGTGCTCTCTGTAGGCTCAGGGCTGAGCCCACGTTGCGCGTCAGTAGCTGGCATGGGGCTGCGCCCTGTCTCTCCCCCTTCAGAGGCTTCCCCAGCACTAAACACCCTCTGACGCTGTCCTAGGTCCAGCAGCAGTGGCGTGAAGCCAGCGATGAGGTGTCGTGAAAACCTGTCACGGCAGCGCTCCCCAAGCTCCAGGGCCCCCCTCTTACTCATTTGCTGTGTTTTGAGTCACCACACACCGGATGCTGATGCTCTGTACATGTTACGGGCAGCAGTAGGTAGAGCGTGTGCCCGCGCTCGCATAAGCCCTGCTCTCCGAAGGGGCAGGTTCGGCCCCGACGACCGTACGGTGTGTGGCATTTGCCAGGTGAATGGCAGCGAGAGAAGTGGATGGAAGGATGCTTGCGAGCACAGTGCAGGACCACTGCCCTGCCTGAGCCTCAAAGGCTCGGCAACCCAGAGCCAGAGCCGTGGAAGGAGAGCGGTGCACACGCCTGTACCCCCGGGAGAAGGAGAGCCGGGCCTTATCGTCCGATCGCCGGAGGTCCCGGGGCACGGAACACAGGAAACACAGGAGCCGAAGACAGAGAAAGACATTGAGTTTAATGTCTTTATAAAAGATGTCTAGGATGTCTTTATAAAACACCTAAAGCGTTCATTTAAGATTTTCATAACTCAAAGAATACCCACACGATGAAGGTGTGGCCCAGGCTGATCTTATTTTGACACGTGGTAATAAGTTCTATTTGATTTCTAACACAACCCTGTGACAGAGATAATTTTGGGTGCGCATTTTCTTTTAGATGCAAGTGAAGCTGGTGAGAGATTCAGAATACCCGTTTAAAGCCCAGAATGGTCTGTGCCGCTACTTTTCTGACTCACATTCTGGATTTTCAATCAAAGGTTATTCTGCCTATGACTTCCGGTAAGTGTCTCCCTCTGTTGTGGTTTCCTCTGTATCTCTTAATTTATTATCTATTGATTATTTGGAATGAATAAGTTGATTGACAGCATCACTGCCTACTCCGAATTGTTTTACAATGGACTTTTTACTGGAAATTGGTAATCAACGTGGAGGTCTATGTACGTTGTTTCTTAAATGTGATCTACTTTCTCCCACGTCATTACAAATAGAAACAACACACTTAAATTAACACCTTTAAATCCAGTTTAAAGTATAATTGACACTCACCACCTCTTACCAAGTTTAAGTGCCACACTTACCTTTAGCATATTTCAGTCTTACTCATGAATCAATAAAAGATTGCTCGGTGTAGACTCCAGCTAATGTCAAGCAGAGTCTACTTACCAAGAAGCATTTTTGAACACATTCTATGTTCCTTGCATTTCTCAAGTGATCAGCTGTAAGAAAAACGTGAAGTGAAGTTTTCATGTTAGAGGCAAGTAGGCAGAGCATATGAGAGCAGGTGACGTAGGCGCGATGGGGAGGCCGGGGAAGAGGACTTGTGTTGGGACCGGAAGGGTACAGTGACTTTGGACAGATTCAGGAGAAAATAATCATTTAAAAATTCTTTAAAAACACGTGAAAAACTCAGAGCTGGCTAGAGAACCATTACGACCATTTGATTTAGTGCAAAATAGGTGCTCAGGGATGAGAAGGAGAGCCATGCAGCGCCTGGCTTCATTTTTTACAGATACGAAGGGAGCTTGTCACAGCGTTTCGAAACAGAGGAAACAGAAAGATTAAAATCAATTCAGCTAAAGTGACAGACTGCCCAGCTACTTAGTAAATATAAAAGGATCTCTGGTCCAGATGGAGTCTCCCCCATGGGATCTGAAAGAAATCACGGGCGAACCTGGATCCTTGAGCAAAATGGAACCCTACTACGCCAGCATCCTTGCGTCCGAGGACGGCCAACGGTCCCCGGCTCCCATCTGCGGGCGGGGCTCTCGCCAGGCAGCCTCAGGCCCCGAGGGAAGGATGCACAGAATCCACGATAAACGGGCAGGGTCGCGGAGCACATCGCTCCCCACCTCCCTTGAGGGTGAAGTTCACGCACTTTCTAAACAAGCAAGTGCGTCTCTAAGCTGTCAGCTCCTGGAGAGTCTTAAGGGAAGGGTCTGCACACGAAGGAACTGCATCTTCAGAGTGTCATTAGAAAGGACTCAGGGCATCCCTTGTCATGAGTAGCAGACTGAAAAAGTTAGGAAGAGACAAAAGAATAATAGGCATTAGTCTGAGTCAGAGAGAGAGGGAGAGGGAGAGAATGCAAAGGTGACCGCTTGGGGCCTGAAGCAGGATTCCTCCAGCCCTTGGATTAGAAGGCAGAGGACCTTGTAAAATCCCTCACATTACAGCGAACAGTTAACTCTGAGAACATAGCGCCAAGCTCACTGCGTTAGACTCTGCAAGAAGAACTTCCTTTGATTTATTCATTTATTCATATATTTACTGAACCCTGTTTTAGGTTCTGGGGATTTGGCAGTGAACAAAACAGACAAAACAAAACAAAACAGACAAAAATCCTGTCCTCAGGACTATATTTTAGTGATAGAGACAAGAAATAAATGAAAGAAATAAAAGTACGCCTGGTCTGTTAGATGAAATAGCTTTAAAGAGAACAAAGCAGCAGTGAGGTGGAGAGGAGACATGGGAGGGGTGTACAGCCTCGGGAGAGGGTCCCTGAGGAGGTGACATTTGAGTGAAGACGTAACCCTGCAGATACCTGGGGAAACAGTGCTCCCAGCAGAAGGAACTGCACATGCAAAGGCCCTGAGGCAGACATGGGTCTGGCATAGTTAAAGAGCAGTAAGGACGCCAGTGTGACCGCCACGGAGAGAAGAACAAGACGGGCAAGTGATGAGGAGACAGGTCGTCAGTGATAACTTGAGCAGTGTTACAAGAGTGGCCTTAGACCTGGTGGAGACTAAAGCCCCACAGGGTATACTGAGGGATGTTTCTGAGGTTATACAGGAGAGCATCACAGGGGACTCCGGGACTTTTGCCCTGAAAGACTGAAAGGATGGAGTTGCCATGAATAGAGCTGGGAGAGTCTATGACAGAACAGAGAACATCAGATTTGTAGGAAGTGACCCCAGGAAGCGCCGGGAGGGGACTAGGGCATGAGACAGAGCGGGGAGAGCCATGTGTCCTCGGGACGCAAATTAGTTCTGAGGGTAACTCGGCCCTCAGTCCTACTGGGGGCCTCTGGGATGCAGGGCAGGATGTGTGTGTCAGGGATGATGTCCCGCCGCACTTGGTGCACATCGCCTCCCAGGATTCAGTAGCTGAGGGCGCAGCGGAGGTAGCAGTGGGACATGGGTTTGCTTTCCAGGCTCTTGAGGGGAGAAGGGCCTCAGGCAGGAGCTGCAGGTCTCCTAGTGGGACCCTGGCTGCCCGGCCACACCGCAGGGTAAGGGCCGGAGGGTGTGGGAAGGTCCCCAGGCGTCTGCTGTGACCCGGCGCTGGGCAAGCCCCTGCACTGGAATGTTACCGCTTCCACAGGAGGACGTGAGCCGCAGGGCCCGGTTAGAGCTCATGTCAGGCCAACTCTGAAGCTCATGCTTTTTCCCCGACCTCTATTTTTACGGTCATGCTCTCTTAGTTTTCGAGTAGTCTCAGACAACATCAGCCCAGGGCACAGCTACCAGCCAAACACTTCATAAAGTCTTGTGGTGACTCTAAAAAGATCTAAAAGAAAAAACCACACTGAGTCACAAAAGCAAAATGATCATTCGTACTCAGGCTGCATTCTGCATTTTTGCTCATCACACCTCAGGAGAAGCATCTCAGGAGTCAAACTAGGATATGAGCATTACTATTTAAATAAACAAAAGGGACAGATATCACATGGTATCACTTAGATGTGGGTTCTAATAAATGAAACAAAGGAACTTATTTACAAAACAGGAACACTCACAGACATAGAAAACAAATTTATGTTTACCAGGGGACAGGTGGCAGGGGGATAAATTAGGAGTTCGGGATTAACATATACACACTACTATATATAAAATGGATAACCAACAAGGACCTACTGTATAGCACAGGGAACTCTACTCAGTATTCTGTAATAACCTATGAGAAAAGAATCTGAAAAAGAGTGGATACTTGTATAGGTATAACTGAACCACTTTGCTGTACACCTGAAACTAACACAACATTGTATCAACTACGCTCTAATATAAAATAAAAGTTTTTTTAAATAAAATAAAATATTTATGGGTGAAACAAACAAACAAAAAGGGAAAGAACCTACTACATGTAACAAGAGACTGAAACACTAGGAGGCAGTGTACCACACTGAATTCTAGGGAGGCAGGGGTGCAAACCTACACACTTACCCAGCGTCTGTAACGGGTAGGACTCGCCTTAATCACCAAATCTGGATGACAGTAAAGATTAGGAGAATTCTTTGAAGGCTGCGAGATTTGTTATCTTACTGATGTGTAAAATTATTAGTAAGCTCATGGAACAAGGTCTGATAATATAGTAGTTCCATACTGGGCTAAAAATGGAAATAAAGATACTGTTCGGAGCATATCTTCACTTGTTTCCAGCCCACACTGCTCTGAAGGACAAGTGACCACAGTTCCGGGGCTAAATGGAGCCTTTCCCTGCTGGTCTAGGCCGTGGTGTGCGCTCCTATTTCCTATTTTCCAACAGCTGTGGAACCTCCCTCGTCCTGCCTCGAGCAGAGATTGTAACTAAATCGTCTCCGCCAGCCCACGGCGCTCGTCGCTCTCCGCGATCCGACAGCTTCTGCCCCCCCACCCCCGCCCTTCTCCGGTCCTCACACCGTCCCTGGAAGGTGTCGTTGATGTCCTGTATTCACTGTATAGCTTTTGTTACCTTTAAAAGGTGGCGGGACTCCCCTGGCGGTCCAGCGGTTAGGACTCCGCTTCCACTGCAGGGGGCACGGGTTCGAGCCCTGATCCAGGAAGATCCCGTGGGCCGCACGGTGCAGCAAAAAAAAATAAATTAATAAAACGGAAAAAATAAAAGGTGGAGGCGGGCTGCCCTGGTGGCGCAGCGGTTGAGAGTCCGCCTGCCGATGCAGGGGACGCGGGTTCGTGCCCCAGTCCGGGAGGATCCCACATGCCGCGGAGCGGCTGGGCCCGTGAGCCGTGGCCGCTGAGCCTGCACGTCCGGAGCCTGGTGTCCCACAGCCCTCCTGGGACTGCCAGTCTTCCAGACTTCTTTTAGCCTCCATCGATTAAGGCTTGATAATGGCAACCAAACCTACTCCTACCCATATACAGATTAAATAGATCACTTTTATAAAGTATTTTTACCTGAAAAACTAAACTTCTTAACCAAACATTTCCTCTTTTGGTAGTGACCGAGAAGACGAAATGGCAAAAGCACTGTTTACCCTGGGCCCTCTGATAGTGGTAGTAGATGCCGTGAGCTGGCAAGATTATCTGGGAGGCATCATACAGCATCATTGCTCTAGTGGAGAAGCAAATCACGCCGTTCTGGTAACCGGCTTCGATAAAACAGGTGAGTGCTGGTGAGATGTGACCAGTTGCTTTGCAGCTTGAACTCCAGCTTGACAAGTGATTGCCATCCTTTAAAACGCTGAAATTTGGTCCTATTACGTCTAAGTCCTCATGAGCTTTACAACTTTTCACTAAACTTCCAGGTGTACACGCCCTGCGGGTCCCACTGTCAATCTGGTAGATGCCTTGTTGAAATGACACTAAATTCCTGATCTAAATAATGGGCATTCTCCATCTGGAATGTTTAGGGTAACTGCTGGGAAAGAGAAGTGCTTATTTATTATTTCATCATACTTATCTAAGGATCCTTTTTTTTCTTTTTTTTCCTTTTTCTAAGTCCCTGGAAAAGGATGTGTGTTTTCATTTTCTGCAGCAACTGCGTTAAGTGAAATGAATTCAAACACATTTTCCATTGATTGGCGTGTGACACTAGTACTGATCAAGTTTACTTGGCTGGTTTGTTAGCAGTTCATTACATGTTTTATCTTTTTCTTAGAGCCACTGTACTTTTCAATAACTGAACTTTAAATAAACATTCTTTCACCACAAATATGTTCTCCAGGGTCTGTTTTACGTTTTTTTAGGAAGTACCCCATACTGGATCGTGAGGAACTCCTGGGGAACTTCCTGGGGCATAGACGGCTGTGTCCACATAAAAATGGGAGGAAACGTTTGTGGTGAGTCGTGAGTTGATATTCAAAACTCCAGGCTAAATGTCAAGGGAGAGACTGTGAATAGATTAAAATTATAGCCCATCCAGTCCACAGCGTGCGTCCCGGATGCTTAGATCACTTTTACAGTGAGAATTGTCATCCTTTAACTAATTGATGAAAATACAACGGTGCTTTTTATAAAAGACACAACTGTACACATTCATGCTTTTAAACGGAAGAGGGAGTGTAGTAAACACCAGTGTAATGAGCAAAACATTGTAAGACGTGGCGAAAATTCACCAAACTTAATTACTTCCAAAGCCAGAAAAAACTCCACTTAGGAGGCTGAGCTTTTCCAGGAATGTCTCCAATTCCAAATTTACTTTTTATAATTGTATTACTTTCCATTATTTTATGTATTACAACACCTTCTCTAGGATCACCAAGAATCACTTTTTCTTTGTATCAAAATGGGTGAAAATCTGAATATTAGGGTTGTTTCTGATTTAATATGCCCCTTGTCACCTACAAAATTCTAGCAAAAAGTTCTACTCACTGGAATTGAGAGGCTTAAAAGAATGGCAAACATGCTCTTTTGTTGAATAACACTTTTTAGTAATTAACAACAAACCAAATTAAAATAGCATTTAAGTATGTTAAACGTATTCTAAAATCCATATTCAAATTCTGTTCTAAAATTTTTGATCCAGAAAATCAGCGTATTTTCTGAATCAAGTTGGACCCAAACTATGCTGTGTATACAACTTTTTAAAAAATGTAGAACACCCCAGGCTGTGATATTTATGATAAAAGAGAGTTATGGATAGGCTTCGCTGGTGGCGCAGTGGTTGAGAGTCCGCCTGCCGATGCAGGGGATGCGGGTTCGTGCCCCGGTCCGGGAGGATCCCACGTGCCGCGGAGCGGCGGGGCCCGTGAGCCATGGCCGCTGAGCCTGCGCGTCCGGAGCCTGTGCTCCGCAGCGGGAGAGGCCGCAACAGTGAGAGGCCCGCGT